CCCATGTATAGTTTTAAACTAAGAAATTAATATTGGTCAAGAAGGAAAACTTAATCCAATATATTTAGCCAAACCAGAATCCCTTAGCGAAGGTATTAAAAAAGAATACAGTTTTGACCTTTAAAGACAGAGCTTATGTTTATCTCTCTCTCGCTCGCTCTGTCTCTCTCTGTCTCTTTTTTAGCTTTCTCTTATTAGCCTTCTCTTTTTAGCTCTCTCTTTTTGGCCGTCTCTATTTGGCCCTCCCTTTCTAGCTCTCTCTTTTTAGCTCTCTCTTTTTATCTCTCTCCTTTTAGCTCTCTCTTTATAGCACTCTCTTTTTAGCTCTCTCTTTTTAGCTCTCTCTTTTTAGCTCTCTCTTTTTAGCTCTCTCTTTTTAACTCTCTCTTTTTAACTTTCTCTTTTTAACTCTCTCTTTATAACTCCCTCTATTTAGCTCTCTCTTTTTGGCCCTCTCTTTTTAGCTCTCTCTTTTGAAGTTTCTCTCTATCTTTTTCAGCTCGCTCTCTATCTTTTTTTGCTCACTCTCTCTCTCTCTCTCTTCCGCTATCTCTCTGCCTCTATGTCTCTTTTTCGTTTACATCCCTCTCTCTTTATCTCCGTCTCTGTCTCTCCCTTTTGCTTTGAAACCCCATTAAGTATTATCGGAACCTGAGATATTGGTACACTGTTCGGGTACCAAGCGAAAGGTTTTAAGGAAGAGAGTAGAGAACAGAAGTAGGAAGATTCGAAACTGAACTCATGTACATCAATCGATCTCACAAGAAATCTCAATAATGTGAATTTATCGGTATCGGCCCCACGAGAACTGTAGTTTCGCAACTACGGAGGACAAGTCGGAGATTGTTTTACATCCCTAACAGCAGCAAACACGAATACCTTCATACTTCCAGCATAGCAAAGACTTATGCAAACTTTTTACTCCATAAATGTGTTTGTAATAATAATATCTTTTACACACATTCATTTCTGTACTAGCCAACCAGAAGCATGAGCCACAATGCAACTAACGGGCAGCAAGTTCATACTAACTTTCGTGCTTTGGAAAAAGACCAGCCCTTCTAAGGATGGGGAGGAGAGTCTAGCACCAAAAAGCACTGTCCGTGCAGTGTCATTTTTGTAAAACACTTTGTGTGTTATAATGATTTTACGTATATACCTTTGTATGTACATATGAATGTGTGTCGGTATGTACATATACGCAAGCAATTAAACTTTGACCGCAATTTTAATAGTAGAAAATGGGAAAAACTTTGCTGGTTATGCATTCATAATTTCTTCCACTCAAATTAGTACTTTTGTTTCATTTGTTGGCTTAAATAGATTTCTACAAAATTTATTGTATCTACTTTGTGGTGGCGCGGGTAGAAGAAGAGAGCGTCTCTCTGTCTGTGTACTGTCTTGTCCTGTACTGCAACTGTTGGTAACTTCGATTGCAAAAGTACAAGCAGAAGTACAAGTTTAAGTATGCAAGTTCTTAAGCTATACATATATAAACGACATAAGTACGTGAATAAATGAATACAACATCTCTATAATTCATTCCCTTTAGGGAAATGTTACCAAGACATCATGTTTTGAAAATAAAAAAGGACAATAATTTTCTCTCTTTCGAAGAGCAGAATTTTCTTTGACAATGAAAATGGGCTGGGATCGGAACAGTTCGAGAGGTGTACAGATTAGGAATGTTGAGGGCAAAGAGAGAAAGAGATTTTCCAAGACGGCCATATAATATTTATGGTTTTTTTATTTATTTTTTTTTTATTTATATTTGTGTTATTTATATTTTGTTATTTATATTTTGTTATTTATATCTTTTTTATTTATATTCTTTTTAAATTTTTTTGTTTATATTTTTTTTTAATTTTTTGTATTTATATGTTTTTTTAGTCATATTTTTATAAATTTTTATTTATGTTTTTCTTTTTTATTAATTAAAAATTTTCATTTATCATTTTTTATCCATATATTTAAATACATCATAATTGTTTTTTATTTTTAATATTTTTTTTCTTTAGTCTTAGTCTTTTTATTCTTACTTTATCTTTTCCGAATTTTTAACTTTCTTGTAAATTCCTATAATTTTTCAGATTTTTTGTTTTTACCGTATTTTTTAAATACAATTTAATTTGTATAATCTGGTTTTATATTTTAAATTCGTATTTTAATTATTTTTTCGTATCTTCAATTTTTTAACATAATTAAATTTTTTCTCATTTTATATTTCTTTCATTTTTATTTTTAAATTTAAAATTTTTATGTATTCTTTTATAGTTAATTATTATGTTTTTATATAATTTTTCTCCTTTTTTGTTTTTTTTTATTTTTTTCAAATAACTTTTTTATTTCTAAATATTTTACTTTTTTATATTATATTTTTTTTATATTCTATTTTTTATTTTATTCTGATTTCCCTTTTTTCTTTATTTTTTTTTTTCTTTATTTGTAGTATTTTTTATTTACTTTTCTTTAATTTTTTATATTTAATTTTTTCTTTACTTTTCTTAAATTTCTTATATTTAATTTCTTTTTTGTTATTTATTTAAATTTTTTATTCTTAGTTTTATTTTTTTTTTCAATTTTTTGTTATAGTTTGAACTATATTCTATTTTATTTCTTCCTATTTTCTATTTTTTTGTTCGAATTTTTTTTTTATTCCAGTTTTAACTTTTTAATCTTTTACAATTTTTAATTGCTTACATTGTTTTTATTTTTTTTTTGTATTTTTATTTTATTTTTATTTTTGTATTTTTTATTTTTTTTTGTATTTTTTTTTTTTTTTTTTTTTTTATTTTTTTTTTTTTTTTTTTTTTTATTTTTTTTTTATTTTTTTGTATTTTTTTTTTTATTTTTTATGCTTACGTGTTTTCAATTTCTTTACTTTTTTAGTTTTTACTTTAAGATTTTAATATTTTATTTAGTTCTTCATTTTATTTTCAGCGGTTTTTAATTTTTTTTTTTAATAGTCAAATAAGTTTTAGTCTTAGATTTTCCTAGGGGTACATTGTAAACACGCACACACACCCAAAAATCTAATAAAATTGCACTTGGCCAAATTCAACTTTCCGAAATTTGCGTAGTCCAGTTATGTATTATTGAAATGCTCAAATTTATCGTTCACTGCTTTGCAAATTTGTTCAACTGTGAAGCTTTAATTAAGCGTGGAAAATGTCATTACAAAGTGAGGGGAAATCATTACAATTTGGAATATTGTTTTGTTGTAGTTGACTTCAGTGAAAAGAGCATTTGAACCTTCTTGAATGTTTATGAAAATTGAACTAAATATAAAATTGTAATTATAAATTTCTCAGTTTAGCATTCAGAATGACATCAGAGAATATGTTGCACATTGAGATATTTTTTTTAATGATTTGATGTATTGTTTTAAACATAGAAATTTCCCCCCGGAGCCATTGGTATCGTGCTAAGTTGACGGAGGCTTAAGGATTGCTCAAGAATATCTGATAATCGGTTTCAAGGTAAACTCAATTTCTGCATCTGCACTTCCCTCCTGAGGAGTGTAGTCTCATCTCGAAAACCAGGATATTTGGGGATCAGCAAGACTATATTGCAACCGTAAAGTAGCAGAATCGGGCTTCTAAGCACTGCCAGTCTGGAAAGAACTCGTAAATTACATGAAAAGATTGGCAGAAAATGCGGTCCAACATCCTGTCAAATGGAATGACAATAGCGTTATGACCGTCGGAATATATTTTGATATGCCGTCAAACGGCTGTCAAGGAGGAAAGGGCATAAGTAGAATGTCCATCAACTAAGGTAAATTGAAGAATACAACTCGGAAATGCGTAGAGTTGTCCTACACCACCAATCCTTATATGTTCATCGTGTATAAAGTTTTGGGGAAAGAAATGGTGATGGCCTCTTTTTGGCAGAAAACGCAATTCCATGCGTCGTCAACGCATTTAAATTTAAAAAAAAAGCAAGTAACGATTAATGATCATCAAATAATCAATTAAAATTTGTACTCATTGTACCCACTTGGATACGGGTCCAAATGGATACTTCTTTAAATACTCCAGCTATTATTTTTTTTAAAGCGAGTTAAATCATTTTAATGAAAGCCTCATAAATGAATTAAAGAAAAAAGGTTTTTATATATGTGTTTGGGATTTAATGGGTTGAGCTACGCGGAGAACAATGACAACTGCATCAGCTTCAACTTAACTGAATCTTCATCTGGGATTAAAAAGAACCAACAGGTTCATATATACCGCGACAGCCAGCCATTGTAACCTTCCCTTTTAGTGAGGGAATTTCGTTCCCAACTCATATTGTTTATTTATTTATTTTTTTTATTTTATATTTTTTATTTTTTGGCCTAAGTAAATAACTTTTTTTTTCAAAGTAGCACAAAAAGCAATGAATAAATAAGTTAAATTAGAAATAGGCGTAAACAAACAATCGAGCGGCTTACTTTTTCCCCTTTAACTGGAACTTATTTGTGTTTGAACAGCTTTCACGTCGCACAATGGGGTAAAAGTGCTTAAGGCACGCGCATTCGCCTGATATGTCGGTCTGTGACTTATTTTGTTCCCTAGAACAGAATCGGTGGTCAAAGGATCCATTTTTAGTCGATTGAGGACATCCAGGCGGCCGTAACGAGAATACTCGCGGACATACTAGTCGAAGCGTTCCAGATATGTGACGAAGCATGGAAAACACGCTGGAATCGTTGTACAGCTGCCCAAGGGGACTATTTTGAATGGGATGGCAGAGTTGTAGAATAAATTTGAATTATACGGTTTTCGTGGAATCAGTCTCATTACTTAATTGTCGCACCCCGTACGTTAAATAAGAAATATTTCCAAAAAAAAAATCCTATTCTCCTAATGCACGTGTTTCGAACACTTTTAGCCCATTGTGCGTCGCACTGACTTGGCTAACATAAAATAAAAAAAAAAAAAAAAAAATTCTCTTGCTTCCACTTATTGTTGTTGCACATGTACAAACACGCGCATACATATAGTATAAACGCGTACCTACTTTTGTAGTTTATTCTGTTGTTGTCAGTTGTTGACAAACAATTCCCAGCCGAAAAACTTAATTAATTGAAATGCCAAATAGACTGGAACTAGTGTCAGCAGCACGTACAAATAATAGGTCCAACTTTCGGTGATATTTTCCATCATCACTGCAAATAAACAAACAGAAGAAGGAGAGTGTGAAAGGGAAATTTAAACATAATACTTTTCATATACAAACAGATACATATATTTATTACACACATATGGTTATATTTAAGCATGTCAATATGTATATACAAAGGTATGTATGTTGAAAGCACCTTTATGGTAGTTAAATAGTGTATTGCGGAGGTGAGGGACCCACCATAAACCGTTTCGATATGAAATATTGTGCAATTTGGTGTTGGCTGCGACGAAGTGTGAACAAACAAACGAACAAACGAACGAACAAGCGAACGAATGAATGAATTAACGAATGGAGTAAGTAAGTAAGCAGAGAGTTGTTGAAGGAGAAGGATAAAAATTGTGCTAAAGTACTTTTAATTAAATGTAAATGGTAGCTGAATATACATACATATATATATATATGTATATACATACATGTGCGTGTGGTTGAGTGTCTGTGTGTCTGGCAGCACTAGGTTGTGGGTAAATCGCTGGCTGTAAAGCTCAAAGGCTAAAGCACGCGGCCACGCGGGCCTAGTAGCAGGGAAAGCCGGTGGAAGGAAAACATAAATACCTGCGCGTATAAAAATACCGTTACGAGCACAGCACGAACAGATAGGATTAAAACATAAATAAAAAAAAGATAAAAAAGCGAAAATATCGGATAAGCTTACGTACATACAAAGAATAATAGTCCAAGTTAGTGATGCTACGTTAGGCGACTTTACCAAAAACGAAATCGAAACAAAAGCTTTAAGTCTTCATTTAACAAAAACAATATAAACTGAAGTTTCGAGCAGTATGTACGGATGCCCCACCTGGGTTAACGAAATCACAAACAGAATCGCCAGAGTTGAGAGTAGTTATATCAGAGCGCTAAGAACTTTTCTGCCAAGTCTCAGTCTGTCTGGGTCGAGAGAGTGCTCTCCCAGCGTTTTTTGAGCAGACACTCTTTATATAACGAGTCTGTTTGTTCTTGTACGGTTTCGCTATGATCCAACACCCTGATGAACTTAATAACGCGGGTGTTACATAGAGACAGTGTCTGTTAGTTTGAACACACCTGAAGAAAAGTCCGCTACCACAGAAACTCAGTTCCCGTCAATAAAACTCAGTGACAACTCTAGGGTAAGAGATGAAGTAGAGAGAACACCGAAGATCAATATTACATAGAGAACGGAAGTTGCGGGCCATAATTGGACCTATTCCAAAAGAAATTGACTGCTGAGTGGCTTGACACTGTTTTATGGAACCGACTCTCCAATGAACAATGGGGTAGTTCCTATCCAAGAATACTAAAACCTTTAGAAACTGAATGCTGTCTATAGCCAGGATTCAAAGTCGAGATCGCCGAAAACCGATGAAGGACAAAGAGGATTGTAGTTTGTTAGTTATACCAACAAAAATAGTAGCGGTTGTTCCCTCTCTTAGGAGCAGGCTCCAGAAAGGCGCTGTTTCGATGGCTTCGCATGAGAGGGAGAGGGAGATTAAATGTGTTGGTTTCAGTGGTCATGTAAAGAGGTGGTTAGTATCCTGCGAGGACTCGTTACATGCTGGACATACGTTGGGTATGTCGGGTTCGAGTCTGGATAGATAGGAGTTTAACCTGCTACTATTTTCAAGCCTAAGTTGCGCCATTGTTACACGTGTCTCTCGAGTCAGCTCGAGTTCTTCGGTTGCTATGGGTGGTGATTTGACTCCAAGAAGGCCATACACGGGAAGGGTGTCTTTGACGATGCTGGATTTTGTCCTTAAAATCTAATAGAGGTTCAGCCTCTCTTAGATGCCTGTAGGGGAATTGCTTGCACAGCAAAGCATTGTCCTCCTTAACTCATAGCATAGATGCTTCGCTGTGTAAGTGATGCTCAAGTGACATCTGGAGGTTACCTGTCGCGTTTCTAAGGATGGACAGGCTTATAGCTTCTTCATCTGCGTCTCGTTTGTCCCCTGTGCCCAGATCGGTTTGAATAGCTAGGATTGAATAACCGACCGATCATTGCTGAAGCAAAAGAGGAAAAGCACGAGCTGCGTGACACTTTGGAGACTCGATCAACTCGACAGACAGGGTTGAAGTCAAGAGTGTATAAAGTAGCACCAAGTAAGTATTATACATACCTCCGTCTTAAAGAAATCATGTTCTCAACAGTGTTGTTGCGAGAAAAAAGGGAAATCATGAAGACACCATGGTATCTACAGGAGTGAATGTATTCAAGACAAATGAGAATCTCCTCGTTCCTAGACCCAAACCGCCTTATGTGAATGAAGTCATTCTTCTCTAGGGATTTCAAAACATACGAAGGGGCGGAAGACTTTAGGTGACACGTGAGGCCACAGCACAGAAGATTTTAAAAGACACATGTAGGAAGAGCTCCTCTCACACCTCTGGTCCATCAAAAAAGAACGTCTTCTCAGTCTAACTCTTACGAAGTTCGCTGGCAGTGCACCTACTGCAATCGAAGGCGAAGCCGAATTTTCGAATCTTCAATCCAACACTTACTAGTAGGTATATATGTCGAGGTATGTATGTACTCATTGGGCGTTATATACAAATTCACTTAATGAGTGTTCGTTCGTAGCGAATGGAAAAACAGGGCAAGCGACAGGTGCAACGCCTAGCGACGAAACTTTTTTTTTTTGCTTTATTAATTTCTTTAACCGTAATTTTCTACAATTTTACACGGCAGGCGTTGCAAGCGCGGGATGATAAAGTACAGAACTACATTCATACACACATACACACATACAAACACACAAACTACTACTACTACTACTTTGTAAACACATTTTAACGGTGGCAAATTATAAAAGCTGCAGCGGCAGTTAAAAAAACAAAGCGCGGAACAACAAAGCAATAACAACAGTTCCCACACACATAAAGTGTGCAATAAACGCTGGCGTATATATATATATTTGCTTAACAAACAAAAAGTCTGCTGCTGCTGCAGCTGATAATCTCTTTTTACAATCGTCCAAGCCAAACGTGCGGCGATGGCCAAGCCATCATCAAACGCCCGCCCAGCTCATCAAGGGACACTCAGCATTTATATTTTACCATACAAACGCACATTTGTGACCGCGTACAGTGGGGTGCATAAAAATAAGAACGCACAGGCTTACAGGCTTTGATTGAGAAGAATGAGAATGAGACAAGCTCTGCTAGAGAGAATTAAAACTTATCTGTATTTATTTGTATTTTTTATGGGAGAAGCTCTACATGCAGCAGTGTCTAGTTATATTACTGTCATCTAAAGGAACTTCCATCCCGCAGCCACTGTTGCCCCAACACAGCTCATCTCGCCTCAATGTAAGTCACAATGGCGTTCAAATTTATGTATATATTTATATATATGTAATGACAAGGTAATCATACCATTTTAAAGATAAAATGAAGTTACTTAATGACCACCAACCAATTGCGGGCGAGCGATGGCGCACGCTTTTCAAAACAGATGTTGCATGCAACAAAAGCAGTTAACTTTGTAAAGCTGTTTGTTACTCAAACGCGTTGGCTTTTATTTAAATAACGTTTTGTATTTACAACTGCAGACTGAATGAAGTCCACGAGTTTTTCATCAAATTGTATGTGCATGTATTTGCTTAAATTGTGAAAATGATGGAGGATAGATGCGCAAACGGACACCAATTACATACATACAAACGGTAAATACATATTTATATATATGATATGTACATTCTAAATATATATGGACCAACTTGTTGCCAGCAGTAGCTGAATTCGTATACATCTACACATAGTTGGTTGTAAGCCACGTAATTTAGAGTGGTGCACACCTTCACAGAATACTAATTTGTAATTCGAGCATAAATAAAATTTTCTTTTAACAAGAATTTCTGGAGATAAACAAAAAGTTGTAAATACATTGGCTGCTAAGTAAATGTGTATTTATAACCGTTTCTTACGTTTAATCTATAAAACGATCTGGTAAGAATCAATAAATCTTGCATATTTTCAGGCGTTCCCAAAAGAGCAGTTTAGTTCAAATGAAAAAAAATAATTAAAACATAATTAAAACGAAAAAAATGAAATTAAAATAAATAAAAAAAAAAGAAAATTAAATAAAAAAATAAAAAAATTAGAATAAAATAAAATAAAGCAAAATAAATAAAAAGAAATGAATAAAAAAATAAATACAATACAATCAATAAAAAAATCAACTAAGCACAATAAATTAAAAAAAAAAAAATACGATACAAATATATTAAAATAAATCAAATAGAATACAAAAAAATTAAAATTATATAATTCCCAAACAAATAAAAGAAAATTAAAATAAATAAAAAATAAAAAAATTAAAAATTAAAAACGGTTAAAATAATATAAAATAAGAGCAGAATACAAAAATTAAAAAACTTATAATAAATACAATAAAATAAAACTAAATTAATTTTATTAAGGCCTTGTTGTTTGTTTGAAATGAATATTTGCTATACAACAAAATAAAAAATTAATATAAATAAAATTTAATTATATTAAGTAAAACAAATTAAAATAAATAAAATAAAACACAAAAAATAAAAAATAAAAATAATTTGAACACAAAATGAAATAAAAACAACAAAATAAAATAAATGAATTTAAAATCAAAAATGAAATAAAATGAAACAATATAAAATAAAAGCATAATAAAATAAAGCAAAATATAACAAATACAATCAAAAACTAAATACAATAAAAAATAAATAAAGAATATAATAAATTTAAAAATAGGTAAGTCAAAATAAATATAATAATAATGTACAAAAAAAAACAAAAAAAAAAAAAAACAAATAAAAAGGAGAAATATTTTAATTTTATATAAAATTACAAATATATTAAAAAGATAAAAAAATAATACCCAATAATGTAAATTAAATTAAATAATTAAATTAAATAATATAAATAAAATTAGAATGCAAAATTCCATGCTGCACTTAGATGACGGAACTTTAACCAAAGCCTATTAACTGAACAAATCGGTCCATAGAAGCTATATATACATAC